GTGACCTCAGGTAAATTATTTAACATCTCTATGTTTCATCAAGTGATATGGACTCCAGCTCTTGGGGTCCTCAGCATTATAGATAAGACATGACAAATTCACACAGACTACTGAGTCCTATGGAGGAAAAGGGACATCATGGCTTCTCTCTCAAGAGGAGAAAAGCCTCAGAGTGCCTTGACCACTCCCTCAAGAGGAGAGCACCCCAACCCTTGCCTTGACGATCTTTTATTGCTTTTCTGGGCACATTACATGATGGTCCTCATTTACTATGCACAGGTTGCTTTAGGTGGTGACCTTTTACAGAAAACAAAGGAGAGGATGCCGCTAATCACATCACAGAAGGATATTTGCAAATGCAAAGGGAAAAGTGGTTGCACTGGTTACACTTGTCCTTGGAAGGTTTAACATAGATTTTAGGAAGTTACAGTAAGCACTTGCTGCTTCGATTCATGGTGAGGGAGTTTTAGCAAAAAGCAAGTCTCAAAGCTGCCTAGGTACAATGCAGGCCTGATTCCCCATGGGAGAACCTATCTGTGGGTGTGGATCCTGTACATCTCTGAGTGGGAGCTGGGCCCACGCCACGCAGAATGGTCTCCTATAATCAAGGATGAAGGAAGTGTAATAGCACCTACTTCACAGAGTTGACATGAGGGTTAAATGAGTAGAGAGGTAAAGTGTTCAGGAGGATATGTGGCATGTAGTAAGTGCTGTCTTACGACTGCGTTATGACCATCTACTTACACACTTACCTCCCCACTAAACCAGGAATTCTCTGAGAGTGAAAACTATGTTTAACTCATTTTTACATATCCAGTACTCAGCCAACCCCTAACTTGTCTTAGAATAAGTGATTGATGGATGAATGAATAAATGAAGGATGTCAACTTTAGGTCAGAGTGCAGTGCTCCGGCAAGCCTGCAGGAGAGAGGGCCCCAAGGGCTTTGGGTGGAGCCCACTTGAAGGCTGCTTGGTAAGAGACAAACAAGTTTCCAGTGGCCTGAGAGAGGTAGGACTAAATCTCCAGGGGTGCTGTGGCCTCTCTGGAGGAATTATGAACCTGAAATCTCAGAATTAAAATGGTGAAATACAGGAAAGCAATAGAGAGACAGAGCCGCCTTTCCTTTTCCCTCCCCACCTGTCCTGCATTCCTGTCCCTCTTCTCTCTTTCCCCTTTCTCCAGCTAGGGACCTCGCCCTCCCCTCCCCCACTCAGGACAAGATGTACAAGACTAATAAAAAGCATGCTGGGTCACTACTATTGTGTAGGTCGAGCACAGACAAAAAGGTACACACTAAGATCCTCATGCTGCTTCATTCACCACCTGCCCCAGCTGGTATTTCTGTGGGGAGAGGAGGGGCATCAGCCCTCCTGTCGGCCTGAGATGAACGGTGAGAAAAGTAGACACCCGACTGACAGCCTGCCAGCTGGACGCTCACACAGTCAGGCTCGTGTTTCGGTTTCATCAATTCTTCTTTAGCACAAAACAAAAATCAATAACAGCTCACTTCAAATTTACAACTTTCCCAGTTTGGAAGTTTAACTTTTAAGCCACCTTTAAATATGCGGTCCTAGCTCAGATCTCGGGTCTAGAGCCCAGAACGCCTCCACATAGTCTATGAACAGCTGAGAGCGAGTCTGTTGAAGCCAGAGCTCCCGACACCTCCCAGAGCAGTTTCCACTGGAATTTGGGGGTAAAGGTCTCAGCCCGCTCTGGTTCTGGAATCTCACTTCATTTCTGCTGTGCACTTCATGAATGGTCAGTGTGACAAACAGTCTTATCTTTGTCTAACCTCCATTGGACCCACGTTTGCTTCAGGGTTTAATACATGGATTTAGTTTAATAGCAAAGAGGTTCTCTTAAAATGTCAGATAGTAAAATGCTGAGTCATTCACCAAGAAAAAGCTGCTCCTGAGTAGAAATTAGAATCACTGGGGCACACAGAATAATGCCACACAGCTTCAGTCCAAACAGAGGGAAATGGACCTGAAGTTCAGATCAAATTTAGAAGGTAATTCTGAGCTGCAAAGGGACTGTTTGCTCTGAAAGACAAGAATGACTCGCCTACAAAGATGGGACATCAGTTAAAATACTACAACACCTAAAGGTAGGGAGAATGGTGTGGATGTGACATTCAACATTTTATGTGCTTAGCAACTGACTGTCTTTACTAAGTGAGACAAAACTATGGAGACAGCCAAGCCAACAGAGTCAGAGGTGTAAGAAGTGACCCAATCCTGCCCATATGCCTGGAAGACTCTTATTTTTGCTGTACAATTGTTTTATATTTATAAGTGAATTGAACTCCCCCATAATAATTGTGTCAGGCAGAATCATTGAGGAACCCTAAGTTCGCCCTAGCTAGTGCGGCTCAGTTGGTTGGAGCATTGTCCCTTAACCCAAAAAGTTGCAGGTTCAATGATCAATCAGAGCACATGCCTAGGTTGTGGGATCAGTCCCAGGCGGGGCACCTGCGAGAGGCAACCAATGAATGTTTCTCTCTCACATCAATGTTTCTCTCCCTCTCTCTCTTCCTTTCCCATTCTCTCTAAAAATAATAATAAATAATTAATTAATTTAAAAATACTTATTAATTACACAGTAAGAATAGTTACTTTACAGTGGAGGAACCTGGCTGTACCCACCCCTAAGCAAGAGACTAAAGTTAACGTCAGTGTTACCAGAAAGATCACGTGCCCCCTGACATGATGCTCTGAGGAGGTTGCAATATTACTTGGGTGCTATCCTTGCCAAAAATGCATAATCTGGCCCTGGCCCGTGTGGCTCCGTTGGTTGGAGCATCATCCCATAACCAAAAGGTTGCGGGTTTGATTCCCAGTCAGGGCACATGCCTAGGTGGTGGGTTCCGTACCTGGCCCAGGTGCGTGTGGGAAGCAACCACTCAGTGCTTCTCTCTTGCGTCAGTGTTTCCCTCTTTTCCTTCCTCTCTCTCTAAAAGCAATGACAAAAATGTCCTTGGGTGAATATTTTTAAAAATGGCATAACCTGGACTTAAATCAAAAGGAAACATCACATAAACCAAATTAAGACCATTGCATAAGATACATGGTTGGTAATGGTCAACAGCAAAATCTCTTGACAGGAAAATGAAAACTGAGCTGTTCCGGGTAAAAGGAGACTAAGGAGACAAGACAATCAAATGCAGCAGTTGGTCCTGCATTGGATCCTGGACCTGGAAAGGGGCAGTAGTGGAAAAACTCGGAAAGTCTGAATTAAGCCTACATGTCAGATAATAGTACTGTGTCCATGCTAAGTTCCTGGTTGTGGTTACTTTATTCTAGGTTATATAAGATGTTAACATTTGGGGGAATCTGGTGAAGGCTGTATGAGAATTTTTTTACTATTGTTGTACCCCTTAAATCTGAAATTAATTCAAAATGAAAGTTTAAAATAAGTAAAACTTTAAGTGAATTAAAGGATCTCAATTTAGTAATTATGAAATAAGGGGACCCTTGTTCTGCCAAGTCCCTGCTCCCCAGTCTCAAAGAAAAAGAATTCTAGTAATTGTTGAAAGCATAACAATACTACCAAAAATATATGAAACCAGCTATATAAATAATGAAGCAGACATCATGGGTTTCTTTTTCCTGCAATTATGTAAAATCTGCAAAATTTTCATCAACATGAGCTTTGAAGGTAGGAGAGCTGGCACGAAGTCAGGTGGCATGGCTCCGTCTTCCCACGGAGCAAAACCAAGCCAGCCAACACCCCACGTGGGAGCCAGGGGACCCTGCCTGACTTTCTCTTAGCTCTGTGCCCTCCATTATAAAGTGGATGCATCTCAGTGCCTGTGTCAAGAGGTATGAATGGGTAGAGCAGGGCCTGACAATGCTGCCCTCACCAGCACTGGGGAGTGTGATGAGTCACTTGCCTGGCTGGAGGGCACAGTGGCCCAAGGCACCAGTCTCACTCTGGCCCAGTCACATTTAAAGTCTCTGGTCTCAGTCTCCGGGCCTCCCTCTCGGGCTTCCTCACGCTGCCTGGAATGGGCAAGAGTCCTCTGCACAGAACGAGCACGCCACACACTCACCACCAGCTCTGTCATTTGGGACCCTGAGCTGCCACCCCCTGGAGCCACTTCCAGGCTCACCGGCATGCTCCCTGCTACCAAGCTGCTATACTAGACACGCAATTTACATTTTATACCAACAACCTGGTGCCACATGTGGTGAAGGCAGAGACTGCTGACAGGTCAATGACAATGGGATCTGGTAGCGGGGGAAAGTAGCAGGCGTGGGCCCCAACAAGCTCTTTTCTGATGCAGGCTGGGGTGGGAGCCTGCAAGGTGCCCCCATTCTTCCAGGAGATCATTCATTCATTCCCCATTCATTGCACTCTTGCCTGCTGCTGCCAGCTCATTCTCAACCCTCTAGAGCACCAAAAAAATTGCTTTTCACTCCTGAGGAGGACACAGAAGCACACAGTTCCTCTGGCCCCGGCACTGCCTGGCTCACAGGGCAGGCCCAGGCAAGCACTATTCGCTCATGCCTGCCCATCAAAGTCACTTTCTGACCTGGCTCTTCTACCTCTCAGCCCCTTCTCCTATGTACCAGTCTGTCATCTGAGGGCGAATGGAGAACAGCGAGGCTGCTTCCCAGCTCTGGGGTGCTGCTCACCCTCTCCCCAAACAGCTAAGCCCACCAGTGTTTGTGGAGCACCTCCTCTCTGTCAAACAAGCCACAGCTATCAAGGGGATCTAAAAGGGCTTTGTTGGCAGGCAAACTGAGATGCAAGCTCTGGTCCTAGAGCTTGCTAGGTGTGTATCTTTGTACAGTTACTACCCTTTCTGATTTCAGTAACCTCCTCTGTACAAAAGAGAAAATAATGGGTACCTCACATGATTGTTCTGAGGCTCAAATGAAATGATATTTATAAATCACCCAGTGCAAGCTGTGGCACACACCAGACAGTCAGTAAATGTTTAGCTCCAACCTCTTTAATAATATAATTATTGTTAATTGAACATACCAGTCTCAGATATGAGTACTCTATCTACATCATCTCGTGCAATATCATCATAAACCTATCAGGCAACAATCTTCATTTCCTCACACAGGACAAATAGCTCACTCAAGCTCACACAGGCAGAAAGTGGTAGAGCCAAGACTCGAGCCTTCCGATCCCAAACACCAGGCTTTCTGATCTTCATAGCATGGGCTCCCTCCTGCTTTTCCGCACATCAGAAATGAGCTGATAGCAGTGAATGGAGCAACTGGGAAACACCAGATCCTGGAACCAGGAGCAGGTGCAGGAAGGAAGCCCTGCCCAAGATCCACGGCTACAGATCTTGAGGTGGAAGGGAAGGAGCACCGTAGCTCAAAATGCAATCCCACAAACTGATGGAGTCTCTACCAGCTTGGTTGGGGGATAGGCCACAAGGGGACCAGGAGTCCACCTGGCCAAGGGCACAGGTGAGGAACTGGTCAATTGACACTCAGGCCCTGTATGGTCAATGTTAGGGAGGTGTGCTGGTCAGATACCTTACTATTCAAAGAGTGGTTCCAGGACCAGCAGCATCACCTGTGAGCTTATTAGAGATGCAGAACCTCAGACCCTCCCAGTCCAACTGAATACCAATCTGATGCTAAGCAGTGTTCACAGTGTTCCATATGCACATGAAAGTTTGAGAAGCGCTGGGTCAGGAAGAAACTAGTCCTCAGCCACTACACTGGGGAAAGCACAGAGTCATCGTTCTCCACCTTGGCTGGATACTGAGCTTTTAAAAGTCACAATGCCAGGGCCAACCCAGATAACTTAAGTCAGAGTCTGTGACACCTACAGGATGCAGGTATCAGTGTTTTAAAACTTCCCAAATGGGCATGAGAGTATGGTTGTTAAGAGGAAGAAATCTGGAGTCAGGTTCCAATTATGATATTTACTAACCATGTAACCTTGGGCACGTCACCTCATGACTCTGAGCTCCAAAGTCCTCAACTTCAGAGCAGTGACAATAACAATATCCAGTGCATGGGGCTGTTTGTAAGGGTCTGTGATTCAGGAACCGCGAATGTCCTCTCAAACCATACAGTGCTATCGTGGTGGTACCTCCTCATTTTGCTTTTCATGTCACAGTTTCCCTGCAGCTCAAAACCAAAGGAAGTGAGGCCTCAATTCTTGTGGTTTTGTCATTTAATTTAATCCTGATTCATCCTCACGGAGTCCCTAGAAGGCACAAAAGACCATCCACTGGATTTACCTCACTCGGTGCTCACTGAGTCCCCCACCTACCCTGGTAGGTGACTCACTGAGGGGAGAGGAGAAAGGGCAACCAGGTCCGACCTCCCAGGCTTACAGTCCAACCAACCAGTCAGCACTTTTAGCTCCAAAGTCTTGTCCAGGATGTGCACAGACATACTCATCATGTGGGCTGGGGTCAAGAGTGCTACTTCAGTCTCCACATGAAGTCTCTTCCTTGCAGCCAGATCAGGATGAGTCAACTGCAAACTAAGACAGAAGTTCTGCTAGAAAGAACAGGAAAAGATCTGTGTTCAAGCACGAGATATCAGGTGGGTAAGGATCAGGTCCCGAATTTTATGCTTAACCCCAGCTCTGCCTCAAACTTACCTATGCCATTAGATGAGTTGTTTGATATTCTTTCTCAGTTCCGACCTCTCCTCCTTAGTCATGCTACAAATCTCTACTAACCATTGGAATATTGTTGGAAAGTTATGAATAGTCCATCCAATGTCAATTGATAAAGATGTCTTATATTTAGAGATATTGGATTATACATAAAGCACTTGATAGATAGTAAACAAAGTGCTATTGTTCCCATTTTATAAATTTAAAACTGAGATTGGGGTCCACTGATAAAACTGTCCAAAGTCTTGAAGAATTATGTAAAGGGCAGCGTCAAGAATAAAACCTAGCCCTGATCAGTGTGGCTCAGTGGGTTGGGCGTCATCCCCCAAAGTGAAAGGTCTCTAGTTCAGTTCCCAGTCAGGGCACATGCCTGGGTTGTGGGTTCCATCCCTGGGCGGGGCACATATGAGAGGCAACCAACTGATGTTTCTCTCCCTCTCTTTCTCCCTCCCTTCCCCTCTCTCTAAAAAATAAATAAATAAAGTTTTTTTTTCAAAGGATAAAATCCAGGACTTCTGGCTCCTAGGCCAATACTGTCCCACACTGCTCACTTTGGCTATATTCCACTAAATGTATCCATGAGAAACATGTTTCCATGTCTACCTCCAAAAGAAAAAAACACCATGGCGGCAAGTGTGCCCTGTCCAGTTGTGACTGGGCCTACTGTAGAATCAAAGGGACAGTTTAGTTTCCACATAAAGTCTCTGCCAAAAAGTAGGTTTGCAAAATATGGATTTCATATCAAAGAGTCTGTCTGATTAGAGAAAAGTGGAACGCCAAGGAGAATGTAATGGGAGATGACTGGAGATGCAGATGTGCAGACTTATAAATTATTCAGCAACTCCTCAGAAGAGCACCCCACTGCCCCCAGCTTACTGGGGAGACTGGTGCTCTATTCCACCCAAGTAACTCAAGGCCGAAAGGAGGGTCATGGCCAGGTACTCCGTCTCCACTCAGGACAGGACCTAACGGGCTTTATTCCAAAGACTGAGAACAGTAATCCCTTTAGCAAGTCTGCCCAGGCCATGGTGAGCATCTTTCTCTGAGAACTGCCTCCCACTCCTTATGTGGAACCAGCAGTCTGATTGTATCACATACATGTCCTCACTCCTCCAAGGAGAGGCATCCAGCCACCTGAACCGGGTTGACTGAAAGGAGAAGAGGAAAACTCAGGAGCTAAGAGGCATCCATTTTACCCCATGATCAAAGGAACAAAGTCCTGACCAGGACACATGTGTATCCTGACCAGGCCTTCGTCTACAACTAATGTCTCTTTCAGAGGGAGCAGAGGATGGGCGTAAATGAACGGTTTGGGTTCCTAACAGCTTCCGAGCTCCAAGTCCCAACTTTTAAAAAGCCCACTGTCCTTTGATTCCATAAGCTACTCCAACATCCCAATATATTCTTTCTTCTTTCTCTCTTCTTTCTTTCTCTCTTCTTTCTTTCTCTCTCTTCTACTCCTTTACCCACCCACCCCTACCCTCACTGGCTATAGTTAGTTTGTTATTAACAACCCAAAAAACCTTGACTAAGACCCCAAGTAAGAAAAATTACCCACCATTTGATGTTTGCTGGGCACAGCTACATGCTACCAAAACAAGTCTCACTCTTGCCTCCTCCAAAGGTCCACGCAGTGGAATTTGGAAAAGTACCTAAAGACAACTTTGGACCCAGTGGATGCTTCATGAAGTGGTTTAAGGCAAACAGATTATAATGAATAAGTAAACTGAGCTAATCCCTAGACCTAATTTTTAAAAATAAAATAAAATCAGGTCCACTTAGGGTTTAAAATGGCACCTGAGGAACTGTCTCCAAACCACTCCTTAATTTATTTATCACATAGAAAACAGGCAAAAATTCACAACAACATGAAAAATGAAGATTAACCAACGATCAGGTACCAAGACCGACCGGGGAGGAATTTCTATCACATAAATAAAGCTAATGCAGCTGAGTTACACAGAGACAGACAATCTACGCCTTTTGCGACAATCCCCAAAGGCTTTTGTGACAAAGCCTTTGTGAAACAGAGTAGCCCATCCACCGGAAAAATGATAGGAAGACTTTGCCTTGCTCCCACTTTCTACCCCCAGCTCAGAGACCCAGGACCAAAGCGAACAAACACCTGGCTCTCTACGGTGGGTGCTACTCTTTTGCCTGTTATTTCGTGGCCAGAGAACTATTCTGTGTCCTCCAACCTACCTATATCCACTCACAGAATGCAATTCCTGGAAAAGCATGGAGCGGGAAGTAGAAGAGGACTAGAAATGGCACATTATAGTTTGAAAGATATTTTTTCCACACATGATGCTTCATAGGCAGCACAGAGGCAGTTGGTCCTAAAGAGTGAGATTTCACACACTCCATCAGTTCTGAATGATAGAGAACAGGCAAGAGATCCCACATTAGTTCAGCGAGCTACACAAGATGAATCACATCAATTCTGGGCACTGTCGAGGAACTATGCACCTCAACTGGCCCTCCAGCTAAAGACCTAAGGACTACGACAGTGAGGAAAATGAAGGACAATCCACACTCCTCTCTGTTAGCAGCATCAAGTCCCCATAGAGTTCTACTTGCATAAAAGGTAAGTAAAGTGAGGGGAGTGGCAGGCATGGGATGGGGGGACCCTCATGGGGTCTATAGAAAAGCAATGCCACATACTAGAAATAGAATATTACCCAGAAAACTAAAATAAAGAGCATGCCTCTGAAAACAATAGAAACCAGAAGGAAATTGACATCTACAATATAAAAAACATCACATGGCCCTATGAAGTTGAAACGGAAAACTCTATGGAAAAGAAGCTGAGATAAACTGATACCAGGGTAAACTTCAAAAACTGCCACCTGGGATAACATCTTAGGATTTCACAGAAATGTAATGGGTGAGAGCTCCTTCATTTATGCTAAGCCTAATCGTGATTCTTTTAAAATAAATAATGAAACAGACTTTTAGGTCATAAGAGACAGAAGCTAGTTTAATCAGTGGAGTTTTCATCTAACTGACAAAATATAAACAGAGTCATGGATGCATGGAACAGATTGATAGCTGTCAGAGAGAAATGGTACTGAATGAAAGAAAGGGAAGGGATTAGCCAAAGAACATATATATATGCATGACCCACAGACTGTGTCATGACCAGAGGGAAGAGGAGGTGGGCGCTGGGTGGAGGTGGGCAAAGTGGGGGGAAATTAAGACATCTGTAATAGTGTCAATAATAAAAATAAATAAGGGAAGTTTTTAAAAAATAGTTTATCTAAAACAAACATTAAACAATATTCAGTTATTATCCACCCAGGTAACAACTCCTTGCTTTTGAGAGTTCTTCTTTTATCAAATGTCTAAGCAAAAGAACACTCCACACCCCACTGAGAAAGATGGTGTTCTGAAACTTTTTTTTCCTCTATGTGGGATGGTTGATCTTGAGCCTGCTGAGAGTAAGCTGGCCCTAGACCTCTCCAGCCCACACTTCTGTGCCTCCAGTTCTTACGTGTCCAAAGACAGGGAACCACGGACACGTCTTCATAAGAGGATTCCTGAAACTTTTTTGACAGAGATGAGGGGAATGTTAAAATCCAATAATAACTAGCATTGTGCTAAATGAAATAAGCCAGTCAGAGAAAAACAATTACCATATGATTTCACTCATATGCAGAATCTAATGAACAAACTAAACAAAAAAAATAGAGACTCATAGACAGAGAGTGGGCTGTCAGTTCTGGAGAGGGTTGAGTGGGTGGGTGGAGGGATTGAGCAAAAAAGAAAGAGAAAGAGTTCATGGACATGGAAAATAGCATGGTGATTATGGGGGGAGGGTAGAGGAGGAAAAGGGTATGGGGGGATAAATGGTAATGGAAAAATAAAATAAAAATGTGAAAAAATCCAATAGTAACTTTATTATCTCATTTGAGATTGTTTCATTGCCCAAATTACCCTGTTTTATGTACAGTAAACAATTATGAAGTCAAAATTCAGGGACTTCCAGCCAAGATGGAGGCACAGGTAGAAACATTTTGTTTCCTCACACAACCAAAAGAAGGGCAACAACAAATTTGAAGTAAAAAAATAACCAGAACTTGAAGAAAATTGAACTGAATGGAAGTCTGACAACCAAAGAGTTAAAGAAGAAACATTCATCCAGACCAGTAGGAGAGGTGGAGATGGGTGACCAGTTGGAGAAGACTCATGGCAAGAGGGCAGCAGGAAGACCAGCGTGGGTGAGGCAGTGACTGGTGGAGCAGGCGAGTTGGTGGCCAGTGGAAGAGGTAGTCCTATATCTGCATGCAGATACACCAGGAGGAACAGTTGGGGAGGGAGACAAACTGCACAACCCAGGGTTCTAGTACAGGGAAATAAAGCCTCAAAACCTCTAAATGAAAAAAACCTGTGAGGGTGCCAGTGGTGGAAGAAACTCCCAGCCTCACAGGCGAGTTCATTAGAGACACCCACAGGGTCCTAGAACGTACACAAACCTACCCACCCAGGAATCAGCAGCAGAAGGGCCCAGTTTGCTTGTGGGTAGTGGAGGAAGTGACTGAAAGCTGTCAGAGAGCAGAGCAAGTGGCATTGTTCCCTCTCAGACCCCTCCCCATATGCAGCACCACAATGCAGTGACCTGACAGGGTTGCCCCTCTCTGGTGAATACCTAAGGCTCTGCCCCTTGCTACATAACAGGTGTGCTAAGACAAAAAAAAAAATATATGACCCAAATGAAAGAACAGATCAAAGCTCCAGAAAAAATACAACTTAGTGATAAAGAGATAGCCAACCTATCAAATGCACAGTTCAAAATACTGGCAATCAGGGTCCTTACAGAAATGGTTGAGTATTGTTGCAAAATAGAGGAAAAGTGAAGGCTATGCAAAGTGAAATAAAGGAAAATGTACAGGGAACCAACAGTGAAGGAAAGAAAACCAGAACTCAAATTAATGATTTGGAACAAAATAAAGATATAAACATCCAACTGGAACAGAATGAAGAAACAAGAATTCCAAAAAATGAGGCAAGGCTTAGGAACCTCCAGGACATCTTTAAACGTTCAGACATCTGAATCACATGGGTGCCAGAGGGAGAAAAGGAAGAGAAAAAATAAAAACTTATTTGAAAACACAATGAAGGACAACTTCCCCAATCTGCCAAAGGAAATAGACTTCTAGGAAGTCCTGGAAGCTCAGAGAGTCCAAAAAAATTGGATGTAAGGAAGCACACATCATCATTAAATCACCAAGTCTGAAGATAAGGAGAGAATCTTAAAAGCAGCAAGAGAAAAGGAGACAGTCACTTACTGTCTCCCACAAGACTACCAGCCGATTTCTCAAAAGAAACCTCACAGGCAAGAAGAGGCTGGAAAGAAGTATTCAAAGTCATGAAAGGCAAGGACCTACATCCGAGATTACTCTATCCAGAAAAACTATCATTTAGAATGGAAGAGCAGATACAGTGCTTCCAAGATAAGTTCAAGTTCGAAGAATTCATCATCACTAAGCCCTTATTATATGAAATGTTAAAGGGACTTTTCTAAGAAAAAGAATATAAAAATATGAACAGTAAAATGACAACAAACTCACAACTATCAACAACAGAACCTTAAAAAAATAAAAATGATAGCGAAGTCAGCAAACAAGTAGAACAGGAACAGATTCACAGAAATAGAGATCCCATGGAGAATTATCAGCAGGGAGGGGAGATAATGGGGAAAAGGTACCGGGAAGAAGAAGCATAAATGGTAGGTACAAAATAGACAGGGGGAGGTTAGGAATAGTATGGGAAACAGAGAAGCCAAAGAACTTATGTGTATGACCCATGGACATGAACTAAGGTGGGGGGAATGATGGTGGGATGAAGGGTATGGGGCAGAGGGGAATAAAAGGGAGGAAAAAAGTAGGAGGACTGTAACAGCATAATCAACAAAATATAATTTCTATAAAAGAAAATTTAAGGCAGTTCTCATAGATATTTTATAAGCATTTGTGAAAATCTTTTAGAAAAGATACATAATGATTTAAGAATGTGTTATTACAGTAATTTCAGCTGCTGTATAAATACACCCAACACTTGTATATTGGAGGAAATACAAAGAAGTTGATCTGTCACTTACAAAGCAGCCCAAGGCAAATGTTCCCAAGAGCCAAGAACAGCTCTTCACCATTGGGCACCCAGGGTAACCAGAGTTCTGCCATCTTCATCATGTGGCCTCCAAGGCTGCTGTTGTCATTTCCTGGCACTCACTAGAATGGGGGCAAAAGAGAATCAAGGAGAGCTCATTAAATGGTGTTTTGGGGAAGTCTTGTAAGTCACAGACATCACTTGGATTCATATTCCATCGATAAGAACTCATTTACTGGGTAAATATCAAGTGGCTTCAGAACTATAAAGAATAATTCTGGTCTCCCAGAAAACAGAAAGGAAGCTGGTTTTGATTTTTTTTAATTTCCAAGAAGATAAAATTATTAAACAATAATTAAAAGCCATATGTAGGAGCAATAAGTGAGTGGAATTACACGGCAGAAAATCAAATAAGTAATTATTTGATAGAAAACTTGAGAAACACTTTCAAAATGCAGAGAACAAGAGCAAAGAACTGAACCTATCATGTTCTACCTCTTCAAAGAGGTCTGAGTTAAGTCTCACGGTCGGTGGCATCTTACAATGATTGTGGCCCAGGGAGCTGTCACGGCCAGGTTGTCAAGTCCTGGGTGTGGGGGAACCTGGTCTCAGCTGTTCCTGTTGTGAGCACTTAATTGAGTTACATACATTGTTGTGATTACATGTAAGTTTAATTGCCATTTAAAATGTCTTTTGAAAGATTACACTGTGATTTGGCATTGAAACAAGAAGTTACTGTGTATGCAGAAAGGCGTGGAATTAGAGCAGCAGGATGTAATTTGATATTACTGAAGCAAGTATCTGCTATTGGAGCAGTGACTGAAATTCCTTTTTTTTTAAAAAAAAAAAAAGCGAGTACTTTAGCAAAGGGAAAAGGAAAAGAAAGTTATCCTTAAATAGAAGCTGTGTTTCTTTTGTAACTGAGATGCATGCAAAAAGGATTGTCCTCACACACCAAACAACGCAGCTGAAGTCAGAGGAAACTGCCAAATCTCTCAAAAATAGATAATATATTTAAAAACAAGAAAAAATCTGATGTGAGCTATATACCAATTTCACAGAACTCTAATTGTGGCATCAGAGCATAGTTTAATTGGAAGCAATTTTTCTTCCTTATACATAAAATAATAGTGTTTCTTACATACAGTCAATATTGTCTTAGATTCAATAAAGCACAGTAATTAAAAAAGAAGATGACAGCTATAAAAGATGAGGACTAGAGATTCAGTGTAAGTATTATGTTTCTGAAGAAGAGTCCAGAATGATCACAAGACAAGCAATCACTGAAGATATAATTAAAGAAAACTTTCAAAAAACAAGTGGGAAGAAGGGAATCTGAGACGAATAAAATGGGCTCATTAAGTTCCAGGTAAAAGTAACTAAGAGAGACTCACACCCAGAAATATCTTCACAGGTTTTTAGATTTAAACAAATAAAAACATGTTTTATACATTCAGACTAACAGAGAGAGATGGACTGTCCATAAGGAAATACAAACGAGGCTGACCTTGGTCTTCCCTCTTCCACATCCACAGCAGTATCTACCAGACTTGATGTGCAGAAGATTTAGACTCAAGTGCTTTACTGACAGATAAGCTTTGGCTTTTGAGAGCAAACAACAGAAAGAGCTCAAAATGTCTGCCGCTCACGTATTATTCATTTAAAAATACAGTTCAACTGCCCAAGTGGTGATTTTAAATTATGAGCTCAAGAATGGAAAGGTCAAAATATACAACGACTAGCAATGAGCACTGGAACCAATCGGACTTAGAGATAGGTATCAAATAATTGTTTAAATACAGTTACAAGACAGACATGTGTCAACAAATACTCTAGAACCAGGAGACATACATCAAAAAATAATGTAATAAAACCCAGATCCCAAACTCATATTTAATTAATCAACTTTCAGGTAAGAAGGGGGAACACAGGGAAATAAAAGTATACAAAAGTCTTCATCCCAGAGAGTTGTGAGCTTTAAAATACCATTTTATTTTTTACTTTACTGATTAGAGAAATATTGGCTGATGTTCATAACATTATTTAGAAACCCATTACATACCACAGTAGATTGCTGACTTTAAAAAGATAAATAAAACTTCATCCCTGTCTGAAGGAATTTAGTCTGAAGACCTCTAGCCAACACACAGGATAGATTTTAATTTGTTGCAAGAATAAACACGTTAAATTCCTTGAAGAAACCCAGGGAGGATCAGTGTTCAAATAATGCTTAGATCTTACTGCATACCAGTGTTTTCTATCCCTTCTTCTGAAAAACTCCTACAGTCTGGTGGGGAAGGATGCAGGGTTCTTGTTTACAGGCTGGCCTTGTTCAGCCGCATCACTGGGGTGGCCAAGGAAGAAAGACTCAAACATTGGGATTCCCGGATAGCTCTCCCTGGTGACCTGTCACACACACAGCCCGAGGCTGGGGGTCAGTGCACACGCCAGGGTTTCCTCTGCACTCTTTCAGTTAACGCTCACACCAGCCATTCAAGAAAGTTCCATTTTCCACTTTTACAGATGAGAAAATAAGCTCAGAACTATTGTTTCCCAAAATTACACAGCCAGTAAACGGGTGGCAGAACGGGATCTCCAAGCCAGGAATTTCTGGCTCAAAAGTTCATCACACCATACCATTTCCCTAATTCAAAGGGACAAGGGAGAAGGAAAGGGCCTGAAGAGACTAATTTTATGATTTATTAAGGTATTGATATAGGTGCTTCCCCTTTTACAAAATAATGATGCTGCAATGCACTCAACTAATGACACTGTGGTGGTCCCTCTCTCACAGAACCGTCCGAGGACATTTCCAGGGAGCGCCCTGGTCCCCGAGGCTTGACTAGCAAGTACCAGTTAATGCGCTGTCTGTCCTCTTTGTTTCTTGAGCTAACCTTTCTCTCACCAGGAAGGAAGATTAGATTAAATCATTGCTTTACCCTAAAAAGTTCAAGGTCTAATGCATTGCTCCTTCCCAGGACCTTAAAGAGGGGAAAGTACTTAAAGAAATGCATCTTCAATACAATTCTAGACACCGCCAAGGGAGTTTGCATTCCACCGCTACCCTCATTCCACCCCACCTCCATCACAGCGTATCCACACAATGGTTCACGCGTGTACAGAAGACCTTGGCTCATGTTGGTGTTACCTAACTCACTGTCTTGCTCCCCCATAAATCCCGTGTAGAGAACAAACCAGGGCGCAGCTCCCAGACCAGCCGATCCCTGGAAGGCGTCTGTCTTCGCGCCCCGCGGCTCCTTTCTGCTTCAGGAGCAGCTCGCCTTCCCCGCCCGGGGCTCTGCGGCCGCTGGCGGGCCGCTGCTGCCACCTCTTGGCCTCCTCTCTCCAGCTGCGCTCAGCCGTCTCCCGCTCCCACCTCCCACCCCAAAACCCTCCCCGGGAGTCTGGGGTCTGTGCACCCTCGGCCTGCCCGGGGAACTACGTGATCACTGGGCCCGAGAGGGTGAGGACTCTCCCCGCAGGGGCTTCCTTTCGGGCCACTCCCGCTGCGCACCGAGAATGGACGTGGCCGCGAGGGCGCCGGCGGGAGCCGCTCCCCCCACCCACTGGGAGGTCCCGGAACGTCACAGTTACTCCAGCCACGGCCCGCCGGCCCCGCCCCGGACGCCAGAGAACAACCAGGCCCCCCGAATCTGGGCCCTTCCAGCTGCCTGAAGGAACGAGGGTTAGAGCAGAGGTTTTTTTAACTGATTCCTACGTCGGATCCACTGAATTAGAATCTCCAGGGCAAGGACGGGAAACTATTTTTGCCAAGTTCCTCAGGTGATCCTAAAGGTGAGATAGGCAGCGACCCACCCAGTTAGAAAATCTACAGGATCTTTAATGTTATCCGCACACACACAACACTCCTGAGGCTGAGAGAAGACAAAGCACCAGTATCGGGCGGCGCTCGGAATGAGAAAGGCGGCACTGAGAACTCACCACCCGGCCCAGGGATGGCTTTCCAGCCTTCTCGTTCCGAACGCCATTAGTTAGTTGCTCCATAATTTTTTGCACAGCCTCCTAGGCCAAACGATATACCTACGGGTTCTATTTATTAAAGCCCGAATAATGTAATCAGCATTTATGTCCTAACAACTGAATACCTATTAGAAAAAAATAAACATATAAATTGGGGGAATATTTTTATTTTATTCTTAAATAACTACGACGACTTACTAATGGGATGTGGGCTGGTTGGGCACCGCACAGCATCTCAAACCTTGGAATCAGATTAGACACCACCACCCTCCTTTCCTATTCTATACTGATTTTCCCAAGGCACTTGATGTTTATCAGCAACCACCACAAAGCCAGCTTCCCAAAGATATGATGTCATTGAAAAGCATGCAAGGCAATCTAATGGTGAAACTGCAAACTATCCTGAATGACTTACAGTTTTCTTGGAATCAGACAGATGTCAAGAGTTGCCTTCAACAGTTAAAATGTCCTTTGGAGCCCCTGCGACTTCACTGCAGGCCCCAGGGACACCTCGGCACGAGGATGAGAATGTGTGTGGACTTAGGCTGCATTCACATCTCATCTCAAACCACATTCCTCAGGGTTCCAGCTGCAACGACCTCCTTCTTCCCTTGCATGTGTCGGCTGCTCTCCCTGTGCAACACGGTTCCTCCGTGCTGGTCCCTCCACCTTAAACTTCCTTCTCCTTCTTCCTCCTCCAGGTCCTGGCAGAGCAGACTTCTCAGCCTTCAGGTTTCCATTCATATATCGCCGCACGTCATGAAGCCTACTGGAGCCTCCCACAAAATCATTCTCTTAGATCAGCCGTTTGCTCCGTTTGCTTGTCTTTGTACCTCTTATCACTATCCAAAATTATCCTCTTTATTTATCTATTGGTTTACTTATTTTTGTAGCTATTGGGATGTTAGCTTTCCAAAAGCAGGGAATTTTGTTCATTACTGTTTCCACGGAAGCCAGAACAATGCTTAGCGATAAGTATCAATCAATAACAGTTGAACAAATGAATGCAGCTACCACCCCAACCCAGAGCAATAAAGGTATGCAGAAGGTGCTTTACCTGTGTTAATCCCTTTGCTTTTTCACATCAACTGTTTAGAAAGTGATATGATTAACCCCATTAACTGATCAGGAACTTAAGATTCATTCGGAGAAGTTAAGCATTCGAGACTGCACAGCTAAAGTGGCAGAGCTAAGATTCAAATTCAGGTGTACCTGACTCCAAGGCTGCTTTTCATAAAACCACATTGCCTTCCCTGGACTCTCATTATCTGCTCAGAAAAGCCGAGGCAGTGGCCAAGTCAAGAAATGGAGCCTGGGTATAATTCCCAAAGTCTTTGGAGAGAAAATGGCCAGCCTGGACTTCACTTCCCAGAGGCACAGCCACACACCTCCAGCAGACACCAGCAGAGGTTTCCTGGGCGCTCTGAGTCCTCCAGCCAGGCACACAGAGGTCTCTCGACAATGTATCTCCTGGCCTGGACTGTGTTCCGCTGTAAACGTAATGACACCTGCAACTGGTGGCTGCCTCGCACTGCCAAGTTCCTGTTGGTCACCCCCACGGGTGGCCTGGAACACGCAAGACTGCAATCAAGGATCTGATGAACACACGGTGCCTGATGCACCTCACACTCAGCACTGCGCTGGGCACTAAGGGGCCCACATTTTAGACGGTCCTTGAATGAAGCAAGGATTATCAGGGCACACCTGTCTGCAGTCTCTGGGGAACTTTAGGTACTCATGAGACCCTGGGAGGAACTGTGAGGGGGATACACAGGCCAGACTTTGGGTGTCTGGACACTGAGTTTGAGATCCTCCTGTGGGGAGAGGGCCCTTCTCCTTCATTCTCATTTGGGTTATAAAGTCAAGGGACCTGTGCTTTGTCATTTCCCCCTCTTTTTATGGTTTGCTTTTACCGTGTTACTGTTAACCTGGTGGGCCAGGCAGGAAGACAATCCACCCTTCCTCTCCTCATCTTTGCGTTCCCTTCGCCTGGCCCAGCTAACCCCTGCTCTAGGGAGCCTGTCTTAGCCCCAGAGACTGGGCTAGGTGCCTCGCCTCTGTGCTCAAAATATCCCACGTATAACTGAATTCTGCTACTGACCACACTGCATCGTAACTACCTTTGTGTACATCTGTCTCCCCGACCAAACTGTGAGCTGTTTTGAGGTGGGAGTTCTGACTTAGTCACTGCTGTCTCTTCAGCACCATGCCTGGCACATAGTAGGTGTCTACTAAATATTTGTGGTGAATCAGTTACTGAATTGCCAGACCACATGCTCTGATGTGTGCTTGGGAGTGTACGATCACCACAATTCTAGTTTCTGTGCTATCACATCACAGGGTCTTCGAAAATGCCTTGGAGGTCATTTAGCCCAATACGTGTCCTGAGGTCCCTGCACTAGTAGCATGGACTGTTAAAATGACAAATGGCAAGAAAATGACACCCTGGGCAGGACTTGGCCACAGGCTACTGTCACTTCTTAAGGCTCTGAGCCTGCCTCACCGACTGTTTGGAAGGAACTGTTCGTGCCTCAACTTCACTACCCCGTGCTCTGGGTGCGACCCCAGGGCGCCCCTGAGCTCCGCGTCAAGTTGCCGCCATGAGCGTCCCTCATGGGCCTATCACCTCCACCTGCAGCTGCAACCCCAGCATCCCTTACAGCAAAACTAGTTCTCCACAAAAATTGTCAGAAAAGCAGGTAACGTGAGACTGGGGTGCTGAGAAAACAGCAACAGGCCAGAACAGAGGGGGTGGCTCCTGACAGCCAAGTTTCTAACGGCCTGCCCTGGGAAGCCGGCACCCAGACTCCTGGGGACCAGGGCTCTGGCCATGAGGCTCAGCCCCTGATGCTTTATCTCAGGAAAGCATGGCACCCCTTTCATCATGGGCTGGAAGCCTGACTGGGATGGGCACTGCCTGTGGAGACCCCTGAAACCACAGTGAGGGAAAAAGGCTCAGGAGCAAAGCAGTCTCCCCACTGCCCACAGAGGAACAGAACCTTCGCTGCAGCAGGACTCAGGCAAGAGAGAGAACACGCATTTAGGGAACAGGTGGCCACTAACAGCTGACAGGCAAGGTCACGGGAGCCGGGGACAGAGTGAGCACAGGACAGAAGAGACAGGTGAGCTGAAACAGAGGTTGAGAATTCAGGGGAAAAATGTATTTTTATTTTTTAATTTTTACTGTTATTATACTAGAGAAAATAAAGAATGAGATTTCACAATCGGATTTTACCATTGATGAGAATCACAAGAGCGTGAGGGACCCGTTTAGAAGTTGGGAGGGAATATGAAATTCTAACCATCGCTGGTAGCTACAAGGCCAAATCACATTCACCTTTAAGCCCCAAACCTGAGCACCTAAGGCTGAGGTTCTGGTGTCCAAGCAATCTGTCACCGTGTCCTGCAGCTGTGTCTGACAGGAGCCATGGCTGTCTCCCAGGCCCCTGAAGTGGAAGCCCTCCCACTCTGGCCTTCCCATCAGGCCACGGCTGTTACCCTCCCCCGGGCCACCCCCACCACTGCCACGCTGGCCCCGCCCTGCTCTGACTCCTCCTTCCAGACCCACCCTCCTCCCCTGGGCCTGAGACCCACTACAATTACCAAGAACTTTCTGCAGGTACAGAAGGGACCTACATAGGTCCCAGTGTGGCCCAAGACCCCTTCCCCACCTGCCTCCCTCATTCTCACACACTGTCACAGGACCAAGGGTCGTGCACCTCCACCACCAGAAACACAGCAGGCATCTCTGTGCGTTGGACTCTTAGTCTGCAGTGCTGCCTCACCACATTCTAAGTCCCACCCCCCTGTTACAGAACAGCAGTCAGGGTCCTGCTGCCGCTCCAGCCCTCCAGGCAAAGTTCCAGAGGCAAAGGTTTGTGATAAAGGAATGTGTCTTTATTCAAAAGCTTCACAATTTTTGGAATAACAGCTTTCCACATACATTAGTCACTTAAGCCTATCAATTAACACTAAACTCTTTAACTCTTAGTTCTTTTATAATTCCCCCTGTTAGTTTTAATTATCTTATTTCCATGGGGTTGGTTTACAAACTAAAACAACATAAGACACAAAAACTACACAATTTTGGAAGAATGGCAGGCTTCTGCCTCAGAGCCCGTGAGGAACCAGGCCACAAGGAAGCTGGCCCCACACCACCTACCCTCCCTCCTAGAAAATGGTCTGCCGCAAAATTGGTCCCTGGTGGCAAAAAGGTTGGGGACTGCTGCTCTAGAACACCCAAAGAATAAACTGCCACCCTCTGCCAGGCCAGCCCGATCCGAGGCTGCGACTGGAACTCCTTCCCATACAATACACAGTGAGCTTTGCAGGCAGCTGCAGCGTGGTCATCCAGGCATCGTCGAGAGAGAAGAGCCCAAGAGCCAGAGCGCCGGAGCCCATCTGACAGCCTGAGAGTGCTTCTTTTATTCTGAATCTTCTTCCCTGGCTGGTGTAGCTCAGTGGATTGAGTGCTGGCCTGCAAACCAAAGGGTCACTATTTTGATTCCCCGTCGGGGCACATGCCTGATTTATGGGTCAGGTCCCCAGTAGGGGGCA